CAGTCCTCCCTGGCGCTCCAGAGCCTGGATTTTAAGCTTGAGCTCCGCAATTTCACGGAGGAGCGCGTCGCGGTCGCGCGCCCAGCGCTGTTCCTCCCGGAGCCACCTCTGCTCCTCGCGGAGCCATCGCTGCTCTTCGCGGAGCCACCGGGACTCTTCGGTTTCGTCGTGGGAGGAATTTGAAGAGAAGCAGATGGTGTTGGGGGGTTTTAAGGATTTGAAGGAGAGGGAAAGTGGGGAGAGAGTGTAGTAGTGGTGGCGCCTGGGGAGGAGAGGAGGAGGAGGAGGAGGAGGAGGGTGAAGAAAGAGAACGAGAGAGGAAGCTGCAGACATCTGTGAGAAATCACAGGCGAAAATTGAAACGCAGAGGAAGAAGAAGAAGATATGAGTGAGTGAAGGAGTGAAAACAGTGATATGTATTTGAGTGGATATCAGTGGCTCACCCAACCGTCACCATTTGGGAACCGCCACTTCCAACCGTTGGAACGCATTTTTGTTCACCATGCTAAATCGATTATTATAAGAAAACTTTAATGAAAAAATTCCGATAAATTTTGAAATTTGTTTAATAAAAGCAGTATATGCCTACATACAAGGTATGTGAAATTTTTTACTTTGGTTGTTAAAATTGAAAGAGAGATGAAGAGAGTGAGAGAGAACATAGGAGTGAGGAAAGAGGGAGAGAGGTTGTTTTTTATTTTTTATAAACATGTAGGTGAGGTTAGGGGTGGGCAAACGGGTCCTGGACCCGCGGGTAGGGGCGGGTATTGGCGGTTCGGGGCGGGTACGGGGCGGGTCCGTATTCTTTTAGGTACAAAACGGGGCGGGGCGGGGCGGGTCCAAGTAAACAAAGGGGCGGGCCGGTTCCAATTTTTTGAAGTCGCGGGCCCCCGGCCCGAACCGTTTGCAAACCTCACACTCTCAAATATCTCTCTCACACACACTCAAATCTCACAAACGCACACACATCTCAGCTTTCTGGAAGATTCTCCCGAGTCCTCCTGAGTCCTCCCGAGTCCCTCCCTGCCGATCTCTATCTTTCTTTCAGTCTTCCCTATCGATCTCTCTCTCCCAAAGTCATCATTCTCCATTCATCGATTCTCCCGAGTCCTCCCTCTCGATCTTTCTCTCCTAGAGCCTTCCCTATCGATCTCTCTCTCCCAGAGTCCTCCTTCTCGATTCGTTGATTCTCCCGAGTCCTCCCTTTCTATCTCTATCTCCGAGAGTCTTCCTTCTCGATCTCTTTCTCCCAGGGTCTTCCCTCTCGATCTCTCTCTCCTGGAGTCCTCCCTCTCGATTCTCAATCTCATCTCCCACAACACCACTATCGCCGTCGTCTCCTGACTCTTCTCCCAATCGTGACACCCATCATCGCCGTTGAAAACACCACCATAATCTAAGCGGTTCAGCAGCTACAGCAGCTAATAGGTATGCCTAATTTCGCATTTCAGTATTGTTGGGTAGAATTGAAAGGAACCCAGATGGAGAGTTTTAATTTTTATTTGAATTGCATGTTATCCAGATGAAAAATTGAATTTTCGAGCTACGGTTTTTCGATTTTTTTAATTTGGGATTTCAATTTTATTGCTTTTTCTCATATATGATAATGGTTATGGTTTTTCTAGCGAATTCTGATTATTTTACGATCTGGGTTTAATGATTTTAGATGGGGATCAAGTATAATACGTGTGTAGAGGTTCTTCTTTGAATTGCTATGTGTGCAACAGCTTTGTTCAGTTAGCTATCTAATTGTTGATTCTCAGTTAGGGTTTTGAGCATCCAAAGTATCAATTCTTTGTGGGTTTGATTTGTCAAGAGTTTTTTTTTTTTAATGAAAGAATAAGAATTTACTTGCTTTACTGAATTTTGGAAAATCATGCTGTGAAGGATCTTGCAGGACTTGTTGAAGTCGTCTTTTTATTCGCTTTGGGAGCTCGATTTGGCTTGATTTCAGGCCACTGGTTCGAGTTTGGTTGTCCTTCTAATGGCAGCAGTGGCGGAGGATGCAGCGGCAGAGGATGAAGGTGTTAGGGCTTTTTATGCTGGGCTTGGTTTCGTTGTCCTATTGTATTTAGGCTTGTAAATGTGAATGTGTTGTTGGTAATAAAAAAAAGCAGCCCAATGTCAGACCCAGAAAAAAAAAAAAAAAAAAAAAAAAAGAGTAATTGGACCCGTAAACCCGTCCCGAACCGGCCCGTTTAAAACGAGCCGGGTTAGGTCCGGTTCCTAAATTCAAAATCTCTCTACCCGGCCCGCCCCGGCCCGTTACATTTTAAAACGGGTAGGTCCGGTTCCTCTAAATTTGGGCCCGGCCCGGCCCGTGCCCACCCCTAGGTGAGGTTTTAGAAAAATAAAAAAAACAAAATTTTGTTTTGTGAAATTACTTTACTGTTCTTAAATTTTTGTTGTTGTGATAGAAGACAAAAATATTTTTTCGCCCTCTTCTGATTGACAAAAAGGGTTTCATTAATGTAGTTTTAGATAAAATAGATTAAATCAAATTTATTCAAAGGTAATGAATTTAGTGATGATAAAAAAAAAATCACTTTAGGGTGGTGAACAAATTTTTTTTTTTCTCACTAATATACATTTTAATTGATTTCAATTTTTGAAATACTCTCCCTTACCTCAATGTGATAGTTCGAACGCTCCCTCTCTCTTAATAATAATACATTTTTCTACAAATAGTGAAAGCGTAACAGCAAAAAATTATTGCCACAACTTTTAATTTACTTTTTCGAAGTATTAAAATATCGTTATAAAAACATTTCACGTGTCATTTTAGACGCATATAATTTATAAGCTTCGTAAAACAAATAGCTCGCATCTAAACATAATCAGCCAAACAGCTGTAACAACAAACTATCCACCGGACGCTTCAAAGACCGGATCTGCTATAAGGCAGGGGGCTCTTCAAAGTTCAACCGAGAGAGAAAATTGTCACAAAGCAGAGCTATTCGAGTGATGCGGTGAACAACTTCATTTGCTTGGAAGAGACATAGTTTATCTGTGTCTCTGATAGCTTAAGCTAAATAACTTTCGCATGTGTATTGGATACAAGCCTTTTGAGGTCAGAATTAGATGTATTTAATCCTCTAACAAACGCACTAAGCTAAAAGCTCGCAATCAGATCTGAATGGAGATTCCAAGAAGTAGGTTCTCATGTGTTAGAATAAGTCACTTGTTGATTTGGCGTGCACTATCAATTTATATTAAAGATTATTATGGAGACAGTGCATATATTGCAATGTATAAGATTGAACTTATGTTCTTAATGGATACTAGGGTCTTTATATGTGGAGTGGTGTGCTTTGGGATGAGCAAAATACCCATGGATTTAGGTAAACGCGCTTTCCCGTCTATTTAAAGTTGACAGTTACAGTTATGGGTAACCGTTGAGACGAATAACGGTTATGAGTATAACCGTTTATATGTGAAATTTAAATGAACGGTTATGGGTATTATCCAAGGTTATAACGGGTATTCATTTATCCATTTAATTTAGGGAACTTTAACGAAAAGCACCCGGTACTGTTCATTTTAACGAAAAACCACATTTTTACACTAAAAAGTCAATCCTGGTACTATTCACTTTACCCTTTATTTTGTCCTTATCATTGAAACTCAAAGTTTTCAAGCTCTTTTCATTAGTTTTCCTTTTAATTTAATATATGTAAATTTTGAAAAAAATATTAAAAACCCTCAACTCAGTCATTCTCTCTCCGTCTCTACATAATTCAGTGCAAAAACTTGGCCCTGTCAAACAATCAACAAAAGAAACTCAAACTTCGAAAACAAGTGGTTAAGAACCCACTGGGGCATTACATCGAACACCCCGGCGGGCACCCTAATCGGAGCAGATTTTCTTCAACTTATCAGCCGCAGATTCATCCACAGAGTACTGCAATCGCAGGAAATCCCAATTGGGTTCAACAGAAACACACACAAAAATGTCCAAAACCAATAAATATTCCAAATTTGTGTTTTTAGTGATAGAAATTACGACGTTGTACCTTATTTAGGACCCAGAGGGAATGATTGTAGGCCCTGAGGAAGAGATCGTGGAGGGCCTTGTCGTCGTTGGCCTCGACCTCTCTGTAATTGACGAAGTTCTCGCGGGCGTACTTGGCGTAGTAAGGTTGAGAGTCCTTTGGTAACCTCCTCACCAATCTCAGAACCTCCCCGTAGATTTTCAATGCTTTCTCCATATCTCGACTCCCAGCACCGTCGATCAGCGATCACAGCATCAGAACCTCCACGAATAAAAAGGGCTTTTACTTGTCTTCACAAACGGGCCTCTGTTTATTGCGCAACAGACATATTGGAGTTGGTATGGGCCGTACCAAGCAGTTATTTCTAATGGGGCACTATATGCACCCAACCCAATTTAATATAACGATGTTTAATTGTCAGAAAATAAAAATTTTTTTTGTAATTTTCAAGTTGTTAAAAAAAATATGTAGATAAGTGAAAAAATGGGTAAATTGGTAAAAAAAAGTATAACCAGGTTCAAAAATGGGTAAATGGTTATGGTTAAATAGGTACACGGTTATGCGTATGGATAACTGTTTATAAACGGTTATGATTATGGGTATAACCGTTTATACAATTACCCAACAGGCAAACGGTTATGCGGGTATGAACATAAACGGTTATGGATAAATAACCGCAGTTATCCGTCCGCCATAACCATTGCCAATCCCTAGGTGTGCTTGATTGCAGTGTACATTTGACTGTTCACCTATATGAGTGTGGAAGTGAGGCTGCTTCCTATGACAGCTTAGGCAGGTTCTCTAGAGCACTCATGATAATTCAGCTTGGGCAGGTTCTGTTTACATTTTCTCATTATTTATCACCATGTACTAATTTGACATGGTGATAAATAATAATTGTCTAAGGACTGGATGATGATGCTACCAGTATTACCCAAATCAATATTACAAATGTTAAAAAGTGGGAAGGCGTACCCTGAAATGCAAGGCAAATTGTCAAAGGACTGGTTGATGATGAAGAAAGGATTGAATTATTTGCCTTATTCAAAACTTGGAAGATGGAATTTAATACACCAAATACATATATCAGAGAATCTCCTCTACAACCCTCTAATCCAGATAATAATTGACTGAACATGCCATGAATCTTCTTGCTCATACACTTAGTACCTAAACCATGCTTTACAAAAAACAACCCTGTATCGAACAATCAACTTTTCCATAAAGGTAAAGGTAAATACCCAATTTATGCCAACCATGCGTAAACGAGCGAGCATCTGATAGGGGCTTGAAAAACCTGGAACCATTTTCAATATCATCAAACAACAGAATCCCAATAACATTAATCAAGGATGCATACAAGAACACAATTACTTAAACACGCATCAGAAAAGGTTTAGCGGCAACCTGGGCCTGAAACATTGATCAAGTAGCTGCCTGCCATGCTCAGTCCAGCTTGACATTAGAGTAGAGTAATGTATCCCTGGTGACTGGCATATTCAGAAGGAAGCACACCTATATAAAGAAAATACACAAAACAGGTAAATATCCTTCTAACCACCAAACAGTTAAACACATTATTGACCCACACGATCGGTCTAAAAATATAATTTAACAATCATTAGATGATTCACTTTTGTACATTCAAGAAAAACATCAGATAAAAAGCGGTTCAAGTAGAACTAGGTTCATTGTTTCATCCTTAAGTTTGTCATGTCCTGGCCAAAGTCCAGCAAAGCATCAGATGTTATGGCCAATGGGTTTTGTTCATGGTTTTTTCTCCTTTTTCGTTTTCAGCTGCGACTTTGATCTTTAAGGACGGTGAAACTTACCCCCAAAAGAGTTGAAATGATAAGAATAATTCCTGTGATCCAAGCAAGTGTACGCCTAACCAATAACACTTGCACAATTTTTGTATTATTCAGGCCTTCTTTTTCAGCCAACAAACGAGCATATGATCGACTAGTATACATCACATTCAACATCTTTCCCGACTCCACAGGTGCAACTCCATTGAAAAGGATAGCTCCAACAATTTGACCTGCAAAATTGTTAATTTAACATTATTTCTAAAGATGATGACGAAAAATTTCAAATGAACTATTGAATGAAGAAAATATATATTCATAAAAGTACCAAATATATGGCAGATATACACATAAAATTGGCAACAATGTTTCTAGAAAGAACAATTGCTTTAAAAGAACGAGAATTAACTAATAAAGTTTAAAATCAAAATGATTACCTTTGTAGGCATTTTCAAGTGAATCAAATATCTTGGACAGTGTAGCAAGTAGTAGCTCCACTCCATGTTGAGCTGCTCCATCAGTTCCATACTGCTCTTGCAAAACCTATCATAAGGTTTTGAAGTTTTTTTATTAAGCTATGGAACTCGATGCAGACACACAATAAGAATAAACAAAAGAACACAGAGTCAAGAAAGTGCATGCATATGATTTGACTGCGTGTGCACAATTAATATATGCACATATATCAAATATATGAAATTTATGGAATGCAGCTTGGATACTATATTTTGATATACTCTTTTCTTCTTAAGGAGAAAAAAAAATATTTTATTGAATATGTATCAACTAATCAAAGTGAAGAAGCAGCCTACAAAGCAAACAAACAGACCTCTAACCAGTAAATTGCTATATATGAAAAACATAAAATGCCCAAAAGTATCTTTAATTAGAAGCACAAAACATCCCACAAGCTAACCAAAAATGAACTTTAACACTGTGGCCTTCCAATCCACATGAACAATAGAATAGTATATCCCAAATCCAGAGGGAGTCAAAGCACACAATGATGTCCAAAAGAAAATTCCACCCTACATACCTGCACTGGTATATATTTAGATCTTGTTTATCCTTGTTCCTAACCACAATTTTCTTTTCTCACTTTTAAACAAGTAGCTGGATCCATAATCCATAATCACTTTTAAACGAGTAATTAATCTGTAAACTGAAATTACAGTATTACTATTACACCAATACTCCTCACTATTTTACACCTAAATTAAAGGACCTACTTGTTTCGGTAAAGACATTGCACATAAAATTGACCATTACACGATGAAATAGGTATGTTGTATTTTTGTGTTCGTAGTGATGATAGGGAGCTGGATGTTATGGATACATTCTACCTCTAGTGAACTACTGGTCCACTGCAAGCATGTTTTGTTTCTTATTAACAAGAACAAAACAAAAAAGAGCATAAAAGCAAACAACCACACTTCAAAATATGTTCTTTATTACTTGGACTCAACCCATGTTTGAGCAGTGGGTTGATGGTGATAACCATACCCCAAAAAGAGAAGTACCCCACAAGCAAAAAGATCTCTAAACTATATTATGCATACAAGAATGTGGATAGTCTAAGATTTCCAGAATCCATAAATTTTCAGTACCGTGGAGTTCCACAAATGAAGTACAAAAAACCTTCGAAGGATACTCTTAACAGAAGAGTACATTATCACTTATATTAACCAATGTTTTAAAAGGCTCGCCTTAGAGGCCACCAAGAGGGTTGCTGCCTTTGTTTTGAGGGAGTGGGCGGAAGACATTGCCAGAGCCGCCTAGGCAGCGGAGGCGCGCCTCAGGCCGTCCAGGCATCTCTGTTTGGCTGTTTTTTTATTTATTTTTTTATTTTAACTCCCAAACCCAAATTTTGGGTAGGGTTTTAACTGTCTCATACCTCTTCCTTGCATTATCGTCTCTCTGCCTTTTTTTATGATTTTTATTTTTTTATATAATGGATGTGTGTGTGCTGTCTGCGTGCATTGTTATATGTCTGCTCATTGTGCTTTTCATCCTCAATTATATATATATATATATATATAATATAATATAATATATGTATATATAGGTCGTACCCAGTGCACAAGGCTCCCGCTTTACGCAGGATCTGGGAGAGGTGAATGTCGGCTAGCCTTACCCTCATTTATGGAGAGGTTGCTCCCAATATGTATATATATTTATAATACATGTGTGTGCTCAAGATGATTATTGATTAATAATCTTTTTTTTTAATATAATATGTGTACGCTCAGTGTATATATTAAAACATTTAGGTCCGTGAGGCTTCGCCTCACGCCTAGGTCGGGCTATCCCTCTGACTCCTCACCCACGCCTCACGCTTTTAATAAATTGATATTAACTGAGAAACTGTGGCTTGCCTGTCACAATAGCAAAAAAACATATTCCCCCCCCCCCCCCCCCCCACCAAAAAAAAAAAAAAAAAAACAACCCCCTACATATACGTATGTACACACAGCAAAAATACTTTTTGTTGGTTACTACTTTGCCACAAGCATATTTGCTGACATCCATTTTAAACTTTAAAGTCAACCAAAAAAGGAAGAAAACAACACCTTGATTCCATCAAAACGGCCTGTTAATAACTCAGCTGGGCTATGGATGTTGTGTGACAAATCTTGATGCATTTCTGTTGCCCTTTTAAAGTTGCGGATGAGAGACAGAAGGCTAGTTGTGAATATCCTATCTGATTCCTGTAAACGTATACGATGCAGGCCTTCCAATATAAACCACCATTTTACAACATGTATACAATGCATATCAAACAAAATGAACATGTTATAGTCAATCTCAGAAAACCTTTGACATATGAAGCTTCAAGTTGTCGCCATTGGCCAAAGGGATGCTCAACTCTCCATTTAGTGGTTCTAATGTATCAACAACATATGAACCACTCATCCAAGCTGCCTAAAGAAGACAAAAATCTTAACATTAAAATTAAAGCAAAAACTCAAGTTCATTTTCATGTATACAAGAATAAAAAAAAAGCATGGCATGTCGAATAAATGAACATAAAAAACAAAACATGATATAGAATATCTTCAAGCCAGACTCACAAAATCTCCAATCTCCTTGTCAGTATAATCTGTCGATTGTTCATCCAAAGAAAACACAGAAACTTCACCTTCATCTGCAACAACACATATAATGAACAAAATTTTACATAATTCTGAATGAGGAATAGACTAATAGTAATGTCCTTGCACTAGTTTCACAAGTTACTCGTTTTGAAAGGTCATATACCTGGAAGCTCGATGTCAGCTTTGCTTGAGCCAAGGTCAATCTTGGAACTGTAGGCACTGCTGAACATGGCATTGTCTTTGACTACAAGAGCATGATCTGCATGTATTTTGACATACATGTTTATAATAAGTGCACAAAGTAATATAATAATGGTAAAAGTGTCATAAGTTAGCATGCATTTTACTATTTTAGAGACAATGTTATATACCATCAATTCCTCCAACTTCAAGCGCAACAACAGCACGAGGCCTATTGAATGGATTAGGCACGAGAACCTCATTCAACTACCACAAAGCAACAACAAAATATGATAAATTAGACCTTGGGTTAACACGATGGGGGTAACTAGAGAAAATAACTTCACATTACTTATTATCCACAACACCTTAGCTGAACCAACAGCTGAGAGGGCGGAAGATGGTGCAAATCCAAGCAAAACTGACACGGCTGCACTGACTTCTGAGAGCAACATTGAGTCGGGCTGCGAAAGCAAAAGGCAAGTAGTATTAGCAGATAAACGAAGAAAAATCTGCAGTATTCAATATCTAGATAAAACAACTGAAAAAAATACCCCTTGCAGTACCAAAATCAAATATAACAAAATGAGGTATGCTTAAAATTCCGCCAAAAAAATCCCAGGAATCCCTTTTGGGGGAAACAAGAAATATATTGGCACGATCAAATTTCTAACAATTTCAAGTTCAATTAGACTGAATTTAATATGTGAAGTTGTGAACTTTAAATAATTAAACTGAATTGGGGAATTCTGAATCAACAAGCAATTGCGGGAATTACCTTGACGACATCGTTTGACGAAGGGTTACGAAGAAAATGATGAGTGGAGCTATCGATGAAGAAGACAGAGGCAGTACCATCAGCCTGATTCAAAAACGAACAAAACAGTAATCAGATCGGAGACCTATCATTATCACATCGATATATATATACGCACACAGATACATATATATATATATATATATATATAGAGAGAGAGAGAGAGAGAGAGAGAGAGAGAGGCGAACCTTAGCGTTGGAGGAGATAAACGAAGCAATGGTGAGTATGTAGAAGCAGATGGTGCGTGTGAGTAAAGCCATGGGAGAGAGAGGATCTGATCTGTGGCTCTGCTACTTGGAATGAGGAAGGAGGGGCGAACTGACTTGTCCTTTTGATTTCAAGAAAGAAGCCGCGAGCGACGTCGTATCAGTTTATATTCTGTTTTCTTTTTTTTTCTTTTTCTTTTTTTTTTTGTCAGATAGTTTGGAGCTAAAACCTAATCATGAGGAGTATTTATGTGAGCAAATGCTAGTCTATGACTATAAACTTACTATTCACGAAGAGCGAGGAAGAGTTTCTCTTCAAGTTATCAATGAATCATGAATTTTGTTTTAATGGTCGTAATTGTTCATATTCTTACTCACGCACTGTGTAAAAATTATTTATGCAAAAAATCAATATTTATAAGATCATCTTCGAACTATATAAAAAACATATGGATGAAGGAATCCAGTAAAAGAATTTATAAACCGTTTATCTATTTGCTACAGTTAATTTATTAAACGATCTTATTTTAATTGAATTTTTGTAAAGATGATTTTTACAAAATGATTTATAATATGAACTATTCTGATTATAAATAGAATGTTTCGTGAATTGGTATAAAGTATCTTAAAAGAGTCAAGCCTTTCTCTTTCAAAAATATCATTATGTCCTTTTTTCTTTTCTTTTTTAAGTTACGCCCTTATGATGAATATTGAATGAAAACACTACGACTTACGGGCATAAGCTTTGTTTGACACCAACGTGAACAAATAATCAAAATTTCATAGGGGAAAACGGCAATGCTACGAGTATCACGCAAATCAATATTACAAGTGTTAAAAGTGGGAAGGCGTACCCTGAAATGGAGAGAGGATCCTAAGATCCTCCAATCATATCCGTTCATCATACATCGCGTGGGTCAATTTTATCAGATATTGTTTATATTCAATTTTAAATGAAAAAATTTACAATAATTTCCGACCATAATGTATGATGAATGGATGTCATTAAAAGATCGTCCTGAAATGCAAGGCAATAGTCGAAGGACTGGACGATGATGAAGAAAAGATTGAATTATTTGCTTTATTCAAAACTTAAAAGATGGAATTTAATACACCAAATACATATATCATAAAGAATCTCCTCTGTAACTCTAATCCACATAATAATTGACTTAACAAACCATGAATCTTCTTACTTATACACCTAGCGCCTAAACCATGCTTTACATTACCCTGTATCGAACAATCAACTTTTCCATAAAGGTAAATACCCAATTCATGTCAACCGTGCGTGACTGAGTGAGCGTCTGATGGGCTCGAAAAACCTGAACCATGTTCAATATCATCGATCAACAGAATCCCAATAATATTAATCAAGGATTCATACAAGAATGCAATTACGTAAAACACATCAGAAAAGGTTTAGCGGCAACCTGTGCCTGAAACATTGACCAAGTAGCTGCCTGCCATGCTCAGTCCAGCTTGACGTTAGAGTAGAGTAACGTATCCCTCGTGACTGGCATATTCAGAAGGAAGCATACCTACATAAAGAACAGACACAAAACAGGTAAACATCCTTCTAATCACAAAACAGGTAAACACTTCATTGACCCACATGATCAGTCAAAAAAATATATTTAACAATCGTTAGATGATTCACTTTTGTACATCCAAGAAAAACATCCGATAAAAAGTGGTTCAAGTAGAATTAGTTTCATTGTTTCATCCTTAAGTTTGTAATGTCCCGTCCAAAGTCAAGCAAAGCATCAGACAAAAAGTGGTTCAGGGCCGATGGGTTTTGTTCATGGTTTATTCTCCTTTTTCGTTTTCAGCTGCGACTATGATCTTTAACGACAAGTGAAACATACCCCCAAAAGAGTTGAAATGATAAGAATAATTCCTGTGATCCAAGCAAGTGTACGCCTAACCAATAACACTTGCACAATTTTTGTGTTATTCAGGCCTTCTTTTTCAGCCAACAAACGAGCAGATGATCGACAAGTATACATCACATTCAACATCTTTCCCGACTCCACAGGTGCAACTCCATTGAAGAGGATAGCTCCAACAATTTGACCTGCAAAATTGTTAATTTAACATTATTTCTGAAGACGACGACGATGAAAAATTTCAAATGAACTATTGAATGAAGAAAATATATATTCATAAAAGTACCAAATATATGGCAGATATACACATAAAATTGGCAACGATCATTCTCAAAACAATCATTGCCTTAAAAGAACGAGAATTAACTCATAAAGTTTAAAACCAAAATGATCACCTTTGTATGCATTTTCAAGTGAATCAAATATCTTGGACAGTGTAGCAAGCAGTAGCTCCACTCCATGTTGAGCAGCTCCATCAGTTCCATACTGCTCTTGCAAAACCTATCATAAGATTTTGAATTTTTTTATTAAGCTATGGAACTCAATACAGACACACAATAAGAATACACAAAAGAACACACAGACAAGAAAGTGCACGCATATGATTTGGCTGCGTGTGCACGATTATACATGCACATATACCAAATATATGAAACTTATGCAATGCAGTTTCGATACTATATTTTGATATACTCTTTTCTTCTTAAGGAGAAAACAAATATTTTATTGAAAATGTATCAACTAATCAAAGTGAAGAAGCAGCCTACAAAGAAAACAAACAGAACCGGTAAACTGCTATGTATGAAAAACATAAAATGCCCAAACGTATCTTTAATTAGAACAACAAAACATCCCACAAGCTAACCAAAATGAACTTTAACACTGCGGCCTTCCAATTCACATGAATAACAGAATAGTATATCCCAAATCCAGAGGGAGTCAAAGCACACAATGATGCCCAAAAGCAAATTCCACCCTACATACCCTCCACTGGCACAATCTAAAAGAAAATTACTGTACTTTGTTTAATCCACACAACCCACAACATAGTACAGTTAAATACAAAAAGCTTATTTCCTGGACCAGGATTGAAAGAAGATTTTTAGATCTAGTTTGTCCTTGTTTCTAACCACAATTTTCTTTTCTCACTTTTAAACGAGCAGCTGGATTGGAATTTTCCCTAATCCCTAATCACTTTTAAACGAGTAACTAATCTGTAAACTGAAATTACAGTATTACACCAATACTCCTCGCATTTTAACACCTACAATTAAAGGACCTACTTGTTTCGGTAAAAACATTGCAAATAAAATTGACCGTTATACAATAAAATAGTTCTGTTGTATTTTTGTGTCCGTAGTGATGAGAAGGGAGCTGGATGCTTTAATTCTACCAGAAAACATATTTGCTGACATTCATTTTAAACTTTGAAGTCATCCCAAAAAGGAAGAAAACAACACCTTGATTCCATCAAAACGGCCTGTTAATAACTCAGCTGGGCTATGGATGTTGTGTGACAAATCTTGATGGATCTCTGTTGCCCTTTTAAAGTTGCAGATCAGATACAGAAGGCTAGTTGTGAATATCCTATCTGATTCCTGTAAACGTATATGATGCAAGCCTTCCAATATAAGCCACCAGCTTTACAACATGTACAGAATGCATATCAAAACAAAAGAACATGTTATAGTGAATCTCAGAAAACCTTTGACATATGAAGCTTCAAGTTGTCGCCATTGGCCAAAGGGATGCTCAACTCTCCATTTAGTGGTTCTAATGTATCACAATATATGAACCACTCATCCAAGCTGCCTAAAGAAGACAAAAATCGTAACATTAAAATTAAAGCGAAAACTCAAGTTCATTTCATGTATACAAGAATAAAAAACCAGGCATGTGGAATAGATGAACATCAAAAACGAAACAAGATATAGAATATCTTCAAGCCAAGACTCACAAAATCTCCAATGTCTTTGTCAGTATAATCTGTGGATTGTTCATCCAAAGAAAACACAGAAACTTCACCCTCATCTGCAACAACACGTATAATGAACAAAATTTACATAATTCTAAACGAGGAATAGACTAATAGTAATGTCCTTGCACTAGTTTCACAAATTACTCATTTAGAAAGGTAATATACCTGGAAGCTCGATGTCAGCTTTGCTTGAGCGAAGGTCAATCTTGGAACTATAGGCATTGCTGAACATGACATTGTCTTTGACTACAAGAGCATGATCTGCATGTATTTTGACATACATGTTTATAATAAGTGCACAAAGTAATATAGTAATGGTAAAAGTGTCATACGTAAACATGCATTTTTTACTATTTTAGAGACAAAGTTATATACCACCAATTCCTCCGACTTCAAGCGCAACAACAGCACGAGGCCTATTGAATGGATTAGGCACAAGAATCTCATTCAACTTCCGCAAGGCAACAACAAAATATGATAAATTAGACCTCTGAGTAACACGATGGGGGTAACTAGAGAAAATAACTTCACATTACTTATTATCCACAACACCTTAGCTGAACCAGCAGCTGAGAAAGTGGAAGGTGGTGCAAATCCAAGCAAGACTGACACGGCTGCACTGACTTCTGAGAGCAACATTGAGTCGGGCTGCGAAAGCAAAAGGCAAGTAGTATTAGCAAATAAACGAAGAAAAATCTGCACGTATTCAATATCTAGATGAAACAACTGAAAAAATACCCTTGCAGTACCAAAATCAAATATAACAAAATGAGGTATGCTTAAAATTCCGCCAAAAAATATCCCAGGAATCTCTTTTGGGGGGGGCAAACGAGAAATATATTGACACGATCAAATTTCTAAAAATTTCAAGTTCAATTAGACTGAAATTAATATGTGAAGTTGCGAACTTTATATAATTAAATTGAATTGGGGAATACTGAATCAAGAGGCAATTGCTGGAATTACCTTGACAACATCGTTTGAGGAAGGGTTACGAAGAAATTGATGAGTGGAGCTATCGATGAAGAAGACGGAGGCAGTTCCGTCAGCCTGATTCAAAAACGAACGAAACGGTAATCAGATCGGCGACCTACCATTGTCACGTATATATAGATACAGAGACATATTTATATAATATAGTGAAAGCGAGAGAGAGAGGCGAACCTTAGCATTAGAGGAGATAAACGAAGCAATTGTGAGTATGTAGAAGCAGATTGTGCGTGCTAGTAAATCCATGGCGCAGAGAGGATCTGACCTGTGGCTCTGCTACTTGGA